TACAAAGACTACCACAATCAGGCTAATGAACATATACCTCACCTCACATAGCTAAGATTTGCATGTGCGGTGAGAACACTTTTAAGATGCTCTCTCCTAGCAAATCTTAAGTATACAATACACTACTATTAATTATAGCCAGAGTGATGTGTATTAGGCCTGTAACTGACCTATTTAGCATCACTCCTAACTCAGGAAATGAACAGACAAGCTCTGGTACGCTGCCTTGGCCAAGTGCGCTGTCCAAGGGAATGAATCCCTAGGGGGCTGGACAAAATGAAAGGATAGCTCCTGGCTGGGTTTGCCCACACTGTTGCTGAAAAAACTCCTATAAACTCATCACAAGAGAAGCCAAGAACTCAAGAGACAAGGGATTGGAAAAGCGAAAGGGAGAAATTTATTTTGGGGAGAGAAGGTAGATTCAAGCCTTAATAACTGATCTCTCTACCAATAGGATGGACACCTAGTGTTTTATAGGGAGAGGTTCAGGGGGGCACATGCAAGAGAGCAGGCAGGGAGCACGCGATCCTGTATGGGGGTTGGTACGTGTTCAGTGCACAGTCATGAGCTGAGAAGGAGCAGAGATGGGGATGAGTTCTTGCAGGCATTCTGTTGCTATGAGGATTCTCTGGCCTGGCAACTGGAATGTTCTGGTCATTTTAAAACATCTTCAAGGCCTAAAAAAGTGTGATAAAAAGTACAAACGAGGGGTTTCACAGCGTGAGATAAGTGGTCTTCTTGTCTATTTCTGGTTTTAACTGCTGGGGCCTGCGGTTGAGCAAGAGGGCTAGCTGACAGACCTTCAGTAATTATTTATCTTGCCCAAGTGCATCTTTTTACCATTTGACTAGCATCTCAACTGTTTCCCTCACCTTCAGCCCCTGACAACAAACATGCTAGTCTTCACATTTATGATTTTAACTTTTTATTGATTCCACATATATGTGGATTATATGTGATTATGTACAGAACTGGTTTATTCCTGTGCGTGGCTTATTTAACTTGGCAAGATGTCCTCTGAGTACATCCTGTTGCAAATGGAAATATTTCCTTCACTTCTGAGGCTGAAATAGGTATATACATACAACACACACACACATACATACACACATTACCTTTTTCTTTTCTTTAAGTAGGCTCCATGCCCAGCATGGAGGCCAATGCAGGGTTTGAACTCACAACACTGTGATCAAGACTCAAATGCTTAACCAACTGAGCCACTTTTTCTTTATTCATTTGGGAGAGAATATGTGATGTCAAAAATAAATCACTTTGCATGTGGACTGTTTTGAGTTGAAGGCAATTAGAACCCAGCAGACTCAGGTTATGTTATTTTGCCTCTCATTTAACTGACAAAAGAAATTAGATAGGGGACCTCAATCTGGAAGAGAGCTAATACTAGAGATATTTTTTTTTATGAGAAAGATTCACCTGCCTGTTGTGGAAAACATTTGCCAGCATTTGCTCTTTCCTTTTTCCTGTGAATATACTTCCCCCTTTTTGAAATTCTAAATTCTATCCCCTTCTCCTTAGGTCAGAATGGCATTTGAGCATCATTTGCTTGTCTTTGAGTCTAATATCTTTGGGGTTCTTATAATGAAGAAATTAAATTTGTTTTTCTCCTTTGAATAATCTGTTTTATGTCAGTTTAATTATTAGACCAGCCAAAGAATCTAGAAGGAAGAAAAGAGTTTTCCTCTCCTACACATTCATCCCAATCAGTAGGACAACAGCAAGACCACTTCATATTTTACAGTGAGAAAGCACTTACTATTATCTAGAATGGCTAACAGAGAGCAAAAAAGGATAACATCAAATTTCAGTGGAAATGTTGAGCAATTAGAATTCTCATATATTGCTGATAGGAGTGTAAAAAGTGCATTCACTTTGGAAAACTGGCAGTTACTCATGAAAATAAACATTTACCTACTAAAGGATGATGTAGAAAATATGTTGGGGGTGCCTGGGTGGCTCAGTTGGTTAAGCGACTGCCTTCAGCTCAGGTCATGATCCTGGAGTCCCGGGATCGAGTCCCGCATCGGGCTCCCTGCTCGGCAGGGAGTCTGCTTCTCCTTCTGACCCTCCCCTCCCTCATGTGCTCTCTTTCTCTCTCTCTCAAATAAATAAATAAAATCTTAAAAAAAAGAAAGAAAGAAAATATGTTGGGGTTCAGAGCCCACGGCCAAAAAAGAATTCTTTTTTTTTTTTTTTAAAGATTTTATTTATTTATTTGAGAGAGAGAGAATGAGAGACAGAGAGCATTAGAGGGAGGAGGGTCAGAGGGAGAAGCAGACCCCCTGCTGAGCAGGGGGCCCGATGCGGGACTCGATTCCGGGACTCCAGGATCATGACCTGAGCTGAAGGCAGTCGCTTAATCAACTGAGCCACCCAGGCGCCCCAAAAAAGAATTCTTGAGTCATCTTTGGTGCAAAAAGGTGGTTTTATTACTCACCATTTTTATTAATGGGACAGGATCCTTGGGCTGAAAGAGCTACACCGGGGTCATGAGGAGAGGCAGATTATATACTTTCAAATAGGGAGGAGGTTAGGGATAAGTAAGTCTCTAAGGAATTTTGGAAGCAAGATTTCCAGGACCTTGAGGGGTTAGGTAAAGGGCATTTATTTCCATCTAATAAGACCCTTAGTCATGAGGCCCTTCAGATGTGTATCAGTGGGCCATATGTTTGGAGGATGATTGCCAACATATATCCTGGGGGGGTAGAGAAAACGGAAGTTTCCAAAAGAATTTTTATATATTAAAGTAGACTTACAGGATCCTGGGGTGAGGGTGGGTGTTTGGGATAATGTTAAGCTAAGATTGGCTTTTGCCCTTAGCAAAGTATTAACATAGAGGCCGTTGAGCTTCACTCTACCTGTTTTAAGGACTTGTCAATGGGCTGTAGGAAGTAAGGATATTTAACTTTTTCTCCTGCTTTTGCTTCCACATGAAGGGGAGCATTTTGTAACCCCCAAATATGTCTTTTTTGGCATAAGGATTATTTTAGACTGGTTATTTTATTTATTTATTTTTAAGATTTTTATTTATTTATTTATTTGACAGAGAGAGACACAGCGAGCGAGGGAACAAAAGCAGGGGGAGTGGGAGAGGGAGAAGCAGGCTCCCTACTGAGCAGGGGGCCGATGCGGGACTCGATCCCAGGACCCTGGGATCATGACCTGAGCCTAAGGCAGACGCTTAACGACTGAGCCTCCCAGGCGCCCCTTATTTATTTATTTTTAAGATTTTTAAAAAATTTATTCATTTGACAGAGACAGACTCAGTGAGAGAGGGAACACAAGCAGGGGGAGTGGGGGAGGGAGAAGCAGGGAGCCCGATGCGGGGCTCGATCCCAGGACCCCGGGATCATGACCCGAGCCGAAGGCAGACGCTCAACGACTGAGCCACCCAGGCGCCCCTTATTTATTTATTTTTAAGATTTTTTAAAAATTTATTCATTTGACAGAGACAGACTCAGCAAGAGAGGGAACACAAGCAGGGGGAGTGGGAGAGGGAGAAGCAGGGAGCCCGATGCGGGGCTCGATCCCAGGACCCCGGGGTCATGACCTGAGCTGAAGGCAGAGGCTTAAGGACTGAGCCACGCAGGCGCCCCAGACTGGTTATTTTTTAATTTATTTTTATTTTTTAAAGATTTTGTTTATTTTTATTTATTTGACAGAGAGAGAGAGAAACAGCATGAGAGGGGATAGGGTCAGAGGGAGAAGCAGGCTCCCCGCTGAGCCGGAGCCAGATTTGGGACTCGATCTGGGGACTCCGGGATCATGACCTGAGCCACCCAGGCGCCCGTAGACTGTTTTTTTTAAATATCCAGTAGATTAAGGTGCCTGGTCACCTCCCCAAATGCTTCCCCATAGGATCACGTGTGGAGTCTCAAAAAGGATCCTATGTGGTGGCCTCCCCCTCGGATTTTGTCCATTGCTTTGGGCGAAAACACCCCTGTTGTGTTCATTCAGGGCTCCAGGTGATTCTTTTTTTTTTAAGATTTTATTTATTTATTCATGAGAGACAGAGAGAGGCAGAGGGAGAAGCAGGCTCCCTACTGAGCAGGGGGCCGATGCGGGACTCGATCCCAGGACCCCGGGACCATGACCTGAGCCCAAGGCAGACGCTTAACCGACTGAGCCACCCAGGCACCCCTAAATCAAGGATTTTTTAAAAAAGATTTTATTTGACAGAGAGAGAAACAGCGAGAGAGGGAACACAAGCAGGGGGAGTGGGAGAGGGAGAAGCAGGCTCCCCACTAAGCAAAGAGCCCAATGTGGGGCTCGATCCCAGGACCCTGGGATCATGACCCGAGCCGAAGGCAGACGCTTAACGACTGAGCCACCCAGGCGCCCCTTATTTATTTATTTTTAAGATTTTTTAAAAATTTATTCATTTGACAGAGACAGACTCAGCGAGAGAGGGAACACAAGCAGGGGGAGTGGGAGAGGGAGAAGCAGGCTCCCCGCTGAGCAGGGAGCCCGACGCGGGACTCGATCCCAGGACCCCGGGATCATGACCCGAGCTGAAGGCAGACGCTTAACGACTGAGCCACCCAGGCGCCCCTTATTTATTTATTTTTAAGATTTTTTAAAAATTTATTCATTTGACAGAGACAGACTCAGCGAGAGAGGGAACACAAGCAGGGGGAGTGGGAGAGGGAGAAGTAGGCTTCCCGCGGAGCAGGGAGCCCGATGCGGGGCTCGATCCCAGGACCCCGGGATCACGACCTGAGCCCAAGGCAGACGCTCAACCGTCTGGGCCGCCCAGGCGCCCCGCTCCGGGTGATTCCGAGCGCGGCCAGGGTTCAGGTTATCTCATGAGCGTGGCGAGCAGGCTGTGGCTCAAGGAGGGGACACAGGGTCTGTGCGACACGAGGCCGGGAGGGTCCGGCCCGGGCAGCACAGGGCTCCAGGCTGTAGCTGAATCTGCGGGCGCCTGTGCGAGGGGAGGCCCCCTGAAGGTGTTGCCGGGCGCACCGGGGCGACGCGGGGCCTCGATGCGGCGCGTCCCAAATATACAGCCCAAGTGTCGTCCTCTTGTCCCAAGAAAGAATTCAGGGACGCGCAGAGCACAGCAGAAGCGCGACACAGACGGGGAAGCCTGCCGGAGCCACGTCCGCGCTCGGCCTGTGCGAGCCGGAGGCCCCGACGGAGACCGCGCCGCTCCGCGCGACCGGCGGTCGTCGGCCGGGGGCCGGGCCGCGGGCGACTCGGGCTGGGCCTTTCTCGCGAGCAGCGCTTCCGCGCCTTTTCTTCCTTATTTGGTCGCGCGCTTCCGGTCATGGCGCCCGCCATCTTGGGCCCGGCCGGCGCGATCCGGCTTCCTGTGGCGCGCGGCGCGCGCGGGCCCCTCACTTCGCGGGCGCGTGGGCTCGCCGCGCGGCTTGCGGTTCTCGGCGAGCGCGGGCCGCACGCAGCCCGCCGCCTGCCCTGACGGCAGCGGAGACGGGGCGACGGGGCGACGCGGGGCCCGGGTGCGACCGCGAGCTCGTCGTCTGCGCACGGCCCCTGACACAAAGGCCTGGGAGGTCGGGCCTGGGGCGCGTTTCGCGGCCCCGCCTGCGGGCGACCGGGTCGCGGGGGCGGAGGCCCTGTCGGCGGCTCTGAGGGCGGATTCTCCCGCGGCGGCTGTGCTTCCCGCTCGAGGCCGCCTCCGAGGAAGGAGCCCGCAGACCGAGGGCCGAGGAGAAGAAATGGCTGATGCTCAGGTAGGCCTCGCGTCCCGCGTCCGAGGCCTCGCCGTCGGTCCCGCCCGAGATTCCGAGCGCGCCGAAGTTGGAAGCTCGCTTCCTTCAGTGCGGAGGTCGCGGTCTCGGGCTTTTCACCCGTTTCTGAGGGCCTTCCTCAGGGGGTCCCGAGGGGCGCCTGGGCGGCTCAGCCCGTCGGGCGCCGCACTCCTGGCGGCTCCGGGCGCGATCTCGGGGCGCTGAGGCCGAGCCCCGCTCGCCGCGCCCCTGCTGCTGCCCTTCTCACCCCTTGCCCCGCTCAGGGCGCACGCACGCGCCCTCCCTCTTCCCAAAATAAAGTCAAATCTGGTTTTTTTTAAAAAAGCGTAGCTCTTTAGGATACTTTCCTGTATTCCGGAGCCCTCGTTCCCTTCCCTCCGACCTGCTTCCAGTAGGACGCGAGCGGTTGTCACTTCGAGTTGATGTCTTGTATCCGTCAGAAATGTTCGCTCTGTGACAGAGTCACGGGGGAAACCATTGAATTAAAGATTTTTTTTTTTAAGATTTTTTTTATTTATTTGACAGAGAGAGACAGCGAGAGGGGGAACGCAAGCAGGGGGAGTGGGAGAGGGAGATGCAGGGAGCCCGATGCGGGGCTCGATCCCAGGACCCCGGGATCATGACCTGAGCTGAAGGCAGACGCTTAACGACTGAGCCACCCAGGCGCCCCATAAAACATTTATTTTATTTATTTTATTTTATTTTATTTTTTAAAGATTTATTTGACAGACAGAGACACAGCGAGAGAGGGAACACAAGCAGGGGGAGTGGGAGAGGGAGAAGCAGGGAGCCCGATGCGGGGCTCGATCCCAGGACCCCGGGATCATGACCTGAGCTGAAGGCAGACGCTTAACGACTGAGCCACCCAGGCGCCCCATAAAACATTTATTTTATTTATTTTATTTTATTTTATTTTTTAAAGATTTATTTGACAGAGAGAGACACAGCGAGAGAGGGAACACAAGCAGGGGGAGTGGGAGAGGGAGAAGCAGGGAGCCCGATGCGGGGCTCGATCCCAGGACCCCGGGATCATGACCCGAGCGGAAGGCAGACGCTTAACGACTGAGCCACGCAGGCGCCCCTAGACTGGTTATTTTATTTTTTTTTAAAGATTTCATTTATTTATTTGACAGAGGGACATAGTGAGAGAGGAACACAAGCAGGGGGAGCGGGAGAGGGAGAAGCAGCCTTCCCGCTGAGCAGGGACCCAATGCGGGGCTCGATCCCAGGACGCTGGGACCATGACCCGAGCGGAAGGCAGGCGCTTAACGACTGAGCCACCCAGGCGTCCTATCTCACACAATTCTTAATTTGGAGTAAGGTTTCAAAGTGTTGTGAACTTAGGAAGATTTTATTTTATTTTATTCATTTATTTTTAAAGATTTTATTTATTTATTTGAAAGAGAGAAACACAGTGATAGAGGGAACACAAGCAGGGGGAGTAGGAGAGGGAGAAGCAGGCTTCCCGCCGAGCAGGGAGCCCGATGCGGGGCTCGATCCCAGGACCCTGGGATCCTGACCTGAGCCGAAGGCAGACGCTTAACGACTGAGCCACCCAGGCGCCCCGAATTAAAAGATTTCTGCCGTGGATGCGGTCGAGCCCTGGGGTGTCCGTCAAGGGGAACATTTCACGGTTAGGTCGCATCCGGATACTTGAGTGGCTGTGTGTACACCGGGATTAAGAAAATGCACAAAGAGGCAGGATGGGTATGTGTCCCAGATAACTCCGAAAGTTCTGGAAAAGACACAGCCTCGCTGTTTAGAACGTGCAAGAGAGATGCGCTATTTAAAATACACGAGAAGGGCGCTTGGGTGGCTCAGTCGGTTGAGTGTCAGACCGACGTTTGATTTCAGCGCAGGTCATGATCTCAGGGTCGTGGGACTGAGCCCAGCGTCGGTCTCCCACGCTCAGCGGGGGGTCCGCTTGAGCTTCTTTCCCTCTGCCCCTCCCCCCACTCGCGCTTTCTCGCCCCCTGTCTCTCAAATCGTTAAAAAAAAAAAATACACTGGACGTTACAGGATGTGGGCGCTGCATGTGGCTTGTAATTTGTATAAATCCACTCTTTCCTCGTAATTAGATTCATAATTTTGATTTGGGGGCAGTGATGATAATAAGTCCTTCCCTGTGCTGCAGGCAATGATAACAGTTTGCTTATTATTACAGCTGGTCGTAACTTCTTTTACTTGGCTTGGTGCTCTCTGACAGATTCCTCCTATATAACGTGAATTTCTCTCTTAATCATTCATAATGATTGGATGGCTTTACTGCAAGGTGTGCAGAAGCCATCACATTGAAACTGGAAACTCCTTTCTTCTGAGTTTCTCTTTGCTTGTAGTTTCCAGTGGAAAATGAGGGCTCTCTCTCTTGTGCACCGGAGGTAACGGACTGCTGGGAGTGGTGTTTGTAAAGAATTCAGGCCGTTGTCCTACGAATTTCTGTTTCACTCCACGCCCATGTCTCAGACACACTCTATTCTTTGTATTTTCAGAAAAGGAAAACCAGAATCACGTAACTAACATGTTTGCGTACCTTAAAATTCTAAAACCTAACATAGCATAAATGGTTATTGGAAGAAAGCTTTCAGTGAAATACTAGACTCAGAAATGTTAGCGGTTTTCTTTTTTCCCCCAGATTTTTATTTAAATTCTAGTTAGTTAACATACAGTGTGTAGCTGTTTTCTTTATAGCATTCTGTGTGTTTGTCTTTATAGTGTGATTAAAAGAAGCATCATCATCCACACATGGATTTGTAAGTTTTATGCCATTGAGAATGTTTCTTCAGTTACTATGACAGTTTTATACTCTGTCACTTTTAATGTGTATGTAATGGCTTTTTACATGTGTGGATGTGTGCATAAAATGTAAAAAGTAGATCCATTTTGTGTCGGTGCCCTCTTGTTTCCATCACTCTGCTCAGATTGCAGCAGGCTTGTCTCTGTATTACTGTCCCGGGTGTCATTTTAGATCGATTCTAGGTCAGACAGCCTGGATTAAAAACTAATCCCTTCCATGTACTGGATGTTTGTTAAAATATTCTCATAAAAAGAACATGTTCTGTTAGATTATTATTACTTCTTTGTGCATTAATTTATGAAAAGTCATTAGAATGCTATCTGGTAACCAGTAAATGCTCAAAAAGTATTGTTGTGCTGTTCTTGCTAAATAAAATGCCTTCAGTTCCAAGTTCTCCAAGAATTCTTAGAGTTCTACCTTTTTGTTATTAAAAAAAAAAAAAGTATCCCTTGGCCCATAGGCTCCTGCCTCCGTTAGAAATGCAGACTCCGATCCCACTCCAGAAGTCTGGAACAGAATCTGCATTTTCGCAAGATCTGCAATGCCTGTTGTGAAATTCTAACTCATATTAGAATTTGATAAGTACATTTGTAATCCACCAAAACTTTCCATGTAAGAAATAGACACAACTTCTCCTGTGTGATATAAATGTAGTTCTCAAAAACGTGTATGCCTGTATTGATGCCTTCGTTTGACAAGTTATCTTGGGTAAACACAGTATTTACAATGGTTTTGTGGTTCATATGCCATCCTCTTACCTCAGGGCTAGAGCACATTAGTGTGTTAAAAATTATCTTATGGGGGCGCCTGGGTGGCTCAGATGGTTAAGTGTCTGCCTTTGGCCCAGGTCAGGATCTCAGGGTCTTGGGATAGAGCCCAACTCAGCAGGGGGTCTGCTCCTCCCTCTTTAGTATTATCATGAGGTAAAGGTAACTGTCCATCTGCAGGTGTGATTTGGAGGTTAAGCTCAAACTGGTTTGGGCCACTGGAGCTCTTTGTCAGAGCCCAGTCCTTAATCCTTGAGGAAGTTTCCATTATTGGGGGGCTGTGCCCATCAGGTCTTTTGCCTGAGTTGAAAGATAAGCTGGAAAGAAGAGCTTAAGGAAAATGTGGGACAAAGCTCGCTGGGTACAGGCAGGTGGGCAGTAAAGGTCCGGTCTCAGGGTCTAGCTGGTGACAGATCCCTCCTCTGGTTTTATTCCCCTCATTCCTGAGGGGCACAAGGAAAAGGTCTATCTTTAGGAGCTACTTTCCTGCTAGACATGGGCATGTCCTAAGGATTGACTGAGGAGCAGAATTTTTCCTCCGCTAGCTTTAGATATGCTTGTGGGTGTCCAGGTTTAACCCCAAGCTGCTCATATCCCCGTGTTACTACCATTTGTAATTTTATAGCCTCAGTGTGCTTGGACACAAATTGCACCAAGCAGTTAAGTACGCAGGGTACAAACAGCAGTAAGAGCAGTGTTGTGTTAGTTTCTTTGTTAATAGTCCTACTGACATTTACTAGGGAATTTATCCCCCAGGGATGGCCCACTGTGTTTATAGCTTTTAGCATCTCTAGGATAATAGTGACAACAAGTAAAATTAAGGTGTTCATTGTGGGGCGCCTGGGTGGCTTAGTTGGTTAAGTGCCCGGCTCTCGATTTCGGCTCAGGTCATGATCTCAGGGTCGTGGGATTGAGCCCAGCATCTGGCTCCCACGCTCACTGGGGAGTCGGCTTGAGATTCTTTCCCAATGCCCCTCCCCCCGCTCACACTCTCTCTTCCTCTCTTTCTGTCTAAAATAAATAAGTCTTTAAAAAAGCCCCCCAAAACAAATAAGTACACTAGACATTACAGGGCATGGATGCTACGTATAGCTTATAATTTATATAAATCCACTGTTTTCTGGTAAGCGATCAAGCTCTGCGCTCAGTGCAGTCTGCTCGAGATTCCCTCCCTCTGTTCCTCCTCCCCCACCCCCGCTTGCTCACTCTCTCTCAAATAAATAAAATCTTAAAAAAAAAAGAAAAAAGGTGTTCATTGTAAAATCAGACCAAGTCAGAGGGGTCTAGGGCATCTATTTGCCATGTATTAACAATAAACTGTGGTATTTATTACTCAACAGTCAGAATGATTTAATCTGTTAAAGGGGCCTGGCAGCAAACAATAAGGCTGAAGAAACCAGAACAGCAGAACTAGTGTCCAACGGATAGAGATTATTAGGGTTTAAATTTGAGAGCCCTTACGCACTGAGGCTCTACTAACCTTGTGAGCTTCTCCAACAGAAGTTTCAGGTCAGTGAATGGCTCACAGGAATATTTGTTGTTACCTGGTGCTAGTAACCGCCCCCCCCGCCCCGCCCCCGGGTCTCTGGGTAGATGCCTGTTTTACTCTCCTAGGGTGGATTCAAGGTAGGGCTCCCTCTAACGGGAAGGAAGAGCATGTTAACCACATGCACCGGGTATTACTACAGTCCCCAGTTTCATTTGGGTGAAGCTTAATTTCAGTGGGTAAAGGGAGGAAAAATTTTCATATTTGTTGAGTGTATCCATCACCTGTCAGAGATTAATTATACGCTTAATGGCTTGAGAAACCTGTGGGTCTGGAGGTGAGAAGGAGTCAGGGCATTTTGGAAAGCCCTCCCGTACGTCATCCCAAATGGGCCAAGATTTTAGTTTGCCCTTTGGGGTAGCTCTCACTCTGGTGAGAGCTGTTGGTAGTAACTTTAACCAATGTTCCTGTTTCCTGGCACAACTTTGCCAGAGTCTGGTTTAGGGTTCTGCTCTCCCGTTCTGTCTTCCCGGAAGACTGAGTCTCCAGGCAGAGTGTAACCTCTACATGACACCTCAAATGATTTTGGATATAAAGCCTGGCCCATTGTCATTCTGGATTGACCTTGGCAACTGAAATTGAGGAATTTTCTCCTTTACTAAGGGCCTAGTTACTTTGTTAGTTCTTTCTGTCCTTCAGGGAAGGGCCTTAGTCCATCCAGTGAATGTATCTACAAACACCGGGGGCCATTGGCATTACAGTAAAGTCTGTTCACCAATCCTCCCCTGGCATTGTCCAAAAGACAGGTCTATTTTAGTTAAACCAACAAGCTTAAACTTTAATTTACAAAAATGACCCCAGATATGTAGATGTGAAAAAATTTGGGTTACTTTATATTTTTGTGGATTTTAGAATGCCCCCCCCTTTTTTTTAACAAGCATTTGTCTTTTAACCAGCTAAATAGAACTCTTACTGTGCCAAGTGCATGCTTCCAGTGACCCAGGGAGTTGCTGCCTCCTTTTTTCAGGGTTAAGGGAAAGGAGGAAGTGCTTACGGACCAAGCAGCCAGGGTGGACATTTAAACTGGGAACAACAGACAGACCAAACAACCAGGTGAGATGGAGGTTTCAATCTCACAGACCTTAGACTAGTCTCCGTTAGGTCACTCCCATTTTGCTAGGTTAGATCATCCCAAGCCTGTGAAAGGCTGAATCCTGTGATCTGTCATCAGGGATGTCTAGACTCAAGTTGAATGAGTATTCAATTTCCCCAGAGTATTCTGACCTAATATGCTGGCTTGCCCAGACTTTGTGAGACAACTCTAGTTTACCTCAAAGCTGTGTCACAGGGCGCCTGGGTGGCTCAGTGGTTAAGCGTCTGCCTTCAGTTCAGGTCATGATCCCAGGGTCCTGGGCTCGAGCCCCTCATTGGGCTCCCTGCTCAGCGGGGAGTCTGTTTTTCCCTCTACCCTTCCCCCTGCTCATGATCTGTGATCTCACTCTCTCTCTAATAAATAATTAAAATCTTAAAAAAAAAAAAAAAAGCCGTGTCACATACCTGTTGTTAACTTACCCCAACAGAAGTCCTTCTGAGTAATAGTAGTCAGAGTGGATGCTGGATTTCAGGTGATGTCAGAACCCCAGGCTGGCAGTCACAGGCACGAAGAGTGAGAGCCCCCTTCCTCCCTCAGGGAATCTACCCCCGGCCCCAGTAACTTGAACAGTTTAGCCGGGGTGAGCTTGTGGTGCTCACTGCTTCATCTGTTGGAAGCCAGGGAACCAGAGGCCAGAACCTGGGAAAGACACCTGTCCCATCTGGATCGCCAAATTTGTAACTGAACTAAAGTGAATTTGCTTCCCGGTGATTCACAGACAGAAACTACACAGTGGAGTTGTCACACAAAGGAGAATTTATTTATAGTAAATAAGGAGATCACAGGGAATAATTTCCAAAGCCAAGACTCCCAGAGCAAGAGTGAATGAGTTCCTTTTATTTAGGCTTAGGATGAATATTTAGAAAGGGCAGCCTTGTCATCTTATGAAGAGGTGGGCATAAGGTCATGCGTCTGCTTTAAGGAAACCATTCTAACCACACTTTGTGTGTTATGTAAATGAGCTTTGTACTCCTCCTTGGGGGAGAATTTAGTATTATAATGAGGTAAAGGTAACTGTAGGTCACTCCATGGGTCACTCCGAGGTGCATCTGCGCAAGTGTGAGTTGGCAGTTAAGCCCAAACTGGTCTGGGTGGTCTGGGTGCTGGAGCATTTAGTCAGGGTAGTATTTACTACTTGTGTAGTAGTTTTTGTTTCCATTGTGGGAAACTATGTCCCTGGAGTTTTTTTTGCCTGAATTTAAAGATGGGCTGGAGGGGTGCCTGGGTGGCTCCAGTCCAGTCGTTAAGCCTCTGCCTTCGGCTGAGGTCATAATCCCAGGGTACTGGAATCGAGCCCCGCATCAGGCTCCCTGCTTAGCGGGAAGCCTGCTTCTCCCTCTCCCCCTCTCCCTGCTTGTGTTCCCTCACTCCCTGTGTCTCTGTCTGTCAAATAAATATATAAAATCTTAAAAAAAAAAAAAAAGGCTGGGAAAAAGAGCTTAAAGAAAATTTGGGACAAATTCAAGGGGTACTAGCAGGTGAGCAGTAAAGGTTAGGTCGTGGGTCTAGCTGGTGACATTAACTCCCTCTTTCATCTTAGGAACCATTGTGAACTCTGTCAATGGCCACTTGGTAACTGTGGTATTTATTGCAGGGACTGCTGACATTCAGGGATGTGGCCATAGAATTCTCTCAGGAGGAGTGGGGATGCCTGAACCTCGTTCAGCGGGAATTGTACAGGGATGTGATGTTAGAGAACTATGGAAACCTTCTCTTCTTGGGTGAGGATAACTTCCTTCCAGACTTCCCAAACCACACTCAGGGTTTTCTTCCTTCCCTTGAAGACCGTCTCTTGGAAGATTCTTCTTTCCACGACTGGGATTCAGATGGCTGCAGTAAGGGAAGTAAGTAAGGGTTTGTAGGTGGAGAGAAAAATCTTCATGTTTCCTTTCCAGCTTTAGCTTCCCCTTCCTTAAGGTAACATCATCATTTCTGTAGATTAGTGGCGATTCTAAATATTGAGGGGCATAAAATGGTACTGCCCACATCTAAACTCCAATTTCCACTCCTTATTATTGTATGTAGTACTTGGAAGTGGAATCCAAGATCTGAACATTACAAATCCCTCCTTTATGTTCTCAGTGGGCTGTTAGACCACAGCTTCTGGGAAGTCATTTTCTAGAATTCTACAGTGTCTTCTCTTCTCTAGTGAGCATAATACTGGATTGAAAGCTAGAATCTCTAGCAATACTCATTCCTTTTTTCTAATAAACAGGTCTTGTTGTGTCAAAGCCAGACCTGGTCATCTTTTTGGAGCAAAAGAGGGAGCTCTGGGATGTGAAGGGAAAGGAGACAGTAGCCATCCACCCAGGTAGGTGGGAATGAATAAAGCAGATGACAGAGGTGAGACCCAAAGGTCAAGGAGAAAGCTAGACCTTACACTGTGGTTTGGGTAGCTCTCTTTGAATAGAAATACGTTTGAGAAGCCTTGGTGTATTTCTCTTGCTGTCAGAGGGACACCCCCTGTCCCACCACTCATCATGCTCTTACATCCTGTGAGGATTCTCATTCAGCTCTAGTGATCTTCCATCACATTCACAGCATAGACAACACCCTCCACTTGGATGGTGAAGGCCTTCATGATCTGAGTGCTTTTCCATGGCTTTTGGAGGCCTGGGGAAATCTGTTATAGGAAAAATCTGCCTATTTCTGAGGAACTCTGTTAGACCATTTCTTTTTTTTTTATTTCTTTTTTATTTTTTTAAAAGATTTTATTTATTCATTTATTTGAGAGAGTGAGAGAGAGAGAGAGAGCACATGAGAGGGGGGAGGGTCAGAGAGAGAAGCAGACTCCCCGCCGAGCAGGGAGCCCGATGCGGGACTCGATCCCGGGACTCCAGGATCATGACCTGAGCCGAAGGCAGTCGCTTAACCAGCTGAGCCACCCAGGCGCCCCTGTTAGACCATTTCTAAGTTCTGTTTTGCCTCATGTCAGAGGTGTGTGCGGGGAGTGGTGGGCATATTGGGGCTTGGTGCAGAAATCCCAGGAACAGTGGAGACAGATTTCACCTCTTTTCTGCTTTATGATTTCCAATTTTATGGAAGCTTTAAACATAACTGTACAAAATAGAGACAGTAATTTCTTCAAATAACAAAGCACCTCCCTAAAATGAGAAAATCTAACACTTCATTTCCCTTCACAATTTCCTTTCTCTTGTCTGGACTAAGAGTAGAAATCACAACTCAATGGGATCCAATTCCTCAATTTAATGTTTCTGTTTGTATCCCAGAGTTCCTACATAAGGTAATGCCATAGGGGAGCTAGAACACTTAGTACTTAGTACATAATGTCCCAGTTGTTACCTTATTTCTTAATAATTGCATCATTTTATAATCTTGTCCAGTTTAATATGAATTTCCTGTGACTGTGTCCTATTTTCACTTTCTGATTACTTTTATAGGAGATTCACTTGATTTTGAAATGAGAAGTTCTGCTATGACAAAGGCATGTGCTTTATAAGAAATGAACTATATAATTAGTAAAAGTCCCATATTAAAAAAAAAAGTTTTGTTCATGTAATTTATTTCAGGAAAAATTAATCTTCAGGTTTTTCTTCTTCTTTTCCTAAGAATGTATCTGAATTTAATCCCAAATATTTATTTTATTATTTTAAAGATTTTATTTATTTATTTGACAGAGAGAGAGGGAACACAAGCAGGGGGAGTGGGAGAGGGAGAAGCAGGCTTCCCGCCGAGCAGGGAGCCTGATGCGGGGCTCGATCCCAGGACCCTGGGATCATGACCTGAGCCGAAGGCAGACGCTTAATGACTGAGCCACCCAGGCGCCCCTCTGTGTTTATTTAGAAATAAAGGGCTTTTGTTTGTTTGCTTGGTTCTAAAGAATGGATCACAGCTTTACATTCTTTGTAAGAGTAGGAGGAACATATTAATAACATAATACATTTCTTTAATGTCTTTTAAGTGCTTGTTCATAAAATTTTCCATTAGAGATTTTTATGACTGATCATAATGAATTTCCTTCACAGTTTTACTGCCATATAGGACATAGCAATGGTTCAAAATGCTTGCTTTTCATACATGCACAGTCACAGTTTAAAATTATAGTAAAATAGAAGAATTCTTTTTTAATAATACATGTTTTTGTTTGCTGTTTTGTTTTTTTTTCTTATTTTTTGAGAGAAAGAGAGATGGTAGAGGGGAGGCACCCAGGTGCCCCAGAAAGAATCAGACATCTTGGGACGCCTGGGTGGCTCAGTTGGTTAAGCGTCTGCTTCAGCTCAGGTCATGATCTCAGCGTCCTGGGATTGAGCCCCGCATCGGGCTCCCTACTTGGTGGGGAGCCTGCTTTTTCCTTTCCCTCTGCCCTGCCACTCCGCCTGCTCATGCTCGCTCTGTCTCTCTCAAATAAATAAATAAAATCTTAAAAAAAAAAAAAAAGTCTGAATCTTCCGCTTAATCAAGTCTGTTGCTGATTCTTCAGTTTATTTTTTTTTAGATTTTATTTATTTATTTGACAGAGACATAGGGAGTGAGGGAACACAAGCAGGGGGAGTGGGAGAGGGAGAAGCAGGCTTCCCACTGAGTGGGGAGCCTGATGTGGGGCTCGATCCCAGGACCCTAGGATCATGACCTGAGCCGAAGGCAGACGCTTAACGTCTGAGCCACCCAGGCGTCCCCAGTTTATTTTTAAATTCAGTAATTGTACTGTTTAGCTCCCAATTTCTGTTTTTGTTTTTGTTTTTTATTTGACAGAGAGAGACACAGCAAGAGAGGGAACACAAGCAGGGGGAGTGGGAGAGGGAGAAGCAGGCCTCCCGCCGAGCAGGGAGCCCGATGCAGGGCTCAGTCCCAGGACCCTGGGATCATGACCTGAGCCGAAGGCAAATGCTTAACGACTAAGCCACTGAGGCGCCCCTCCCAATTTCTGTTTTGTTGTCTTTTATACTTTCTGCCTCTTTGGATTTTTGTTTTGATCATGCATAGTTTTCCTGATATCATTTATTTTCCTATCTCTTTTCTCTTCCTGTATGAGCATCTTTCTCATGGTTATTTGAATTCTTTGTAGGCATTTAATAGTTCTCTATTTATTTAGGGCCAGTCTGGGGTCTTTATTTTGTTCCTTTGATTGGGACTTATTTTTCTGTTTTTTTTTCTTTTTTTTTTGTATGCCTTGTGATCCTTTGTTGAGATTTGGGAATTAAAACAAACAAACAAAAGAAATGGCCTCTGGTCCCAGGCTTTATGTACTTACTTTAACAGGAGAACACAAATAACAGTCAGCTGTGCTGCTAATTCTGGGGCTTGTCAACATGCTTTGGGGATATGTAATATCTGAGTTTTTGTAATTTTCCAGTTGTAAAAGTGTTTTTGTTTTTTTTTCCTTCTTTGGAGCCCATGATACCTTCCTCTCCCTGATGTTTGCCTTCAGCTCTGCCGTTTCTCTGCTGTTTGAACAAGTACTCGGGTTTTCTCTGAGCGGCCACCATAGTGCATCCAGAGGGTGCCCTCAGCCCTCCATGTCATGCACGAGAGTTAGAGGTCTATCAGGCAGCTGCAAAAGCCAGATCATTAAATGTAAGAGGTCACTTACGTCTTTCTCTCCTGAGGAGAGGGGAGAGTTTTCTCACAGTCTTGTTATGGAATGCTATGCAGCGTGAACAACTATTGAAGGCAAGTGTAACAAAATTCTGGTCTCTTCAGTGTGACTCTCCTTCATTTTGTGTCTGCCTATGGTGCTGTGGTCTCCTGACTGGCTTCTGGAGCACTGACAAAGGTAGTTTGGTCCATTTTCGCCCCCATGGAGGAGCAAAGTCCTGGTGGTTCTTATTTCTCCATTCTGCTGATGTCCTATGACGGGTATTAATTTTGTACATTAGCATTTTAATGTCTATTTACGTTAAGTGTAGTAAGTGGGATAATTACCAGGTGTCTTTCAGTTATATCTTCTGAAGCCCTAGGCTTATTGGCAAAGACAATATTCTTTCCATAGAGTGATATGGAAAGATATGAAAGCTGTGGCCCTGAGTATTTATACTTAATGAGTGACTGGGGCTGTGCCTGGGGAGGGAGGAGGGTAGAAAAGGGCAGGAAGGATTTTATGATGGATATAACCGAAGTGGGACAATTACCCATAATGAAATTTTAGTGCCAGAAGAGACTGAGGATATGAAACATCTCGAGGAAAGCCCCACTTTAAGACAGTGTGTCTTTCTTTTTTCTTTTGACCATATTTGAGTATTTTTGAATGGCAAATACCATTAACTTTACTCTTAAATTATTTCATGCCTTTATTGCTAGTGTGCATTTAAAGTCATTTGTTTGTTGCTGTCTCACAGATATGAGGGGCATTTATATAGTAAGAATCCATTCAATACCTACTTTTCCATGGAAAGTTATGGACACTAATGTGCAGTGTGAAGAAAATCTAAATGGAGATGCTGTTTGTGCTTGACCTATATAACACTGGTAAAAGTTACCATGAAGTATGTGTTCATCATTCTTTGCATTCAAATAAAACAGAGGAACATTCTCAATTTTCAGTAGTTTTACCCACTGCTGTTTGAGGAGAAAACGCTGGCAGTTCATCAAAATCTGGATGTGTCTTCATAATAGCAAGAGATAGAAGTCATTTTTTTTTTTAAGGATTTTATTTATTTGTCAGAGAGAGCGAGAGAGAGAGAACACAAGTAGGGGAAGCGGCAGGCAGCGGGAGAAGCAAGGAGCCCGATGTGGGCCTCGATCCCAGGACCCTGGGATCATGACCTGAGCTGAAGGCAGACGCTTAACGTCTGAGCCACCCAGGCGTCCCAAGAGGTAGAAGTCTTGGTGTCTGTGGTCGAGGTGGTGCTTCAGCCTCACTCCTGAGTACTGAGATTTGCCCAGTGGTGTCTTGTGTGGATAGTTGCTAGTTGAGCGTTCTGTGAGAAAGACTGAAGTGGGAACTACCCATTTCACCATCTTGGATGATGTCACCCCTCTGTGATCAATGCTTTTATGTCTCATGAGCTAAAATCAGTATTTCCTACATACCTATATGCATGTGTGTGTTTATATCTTACATACATATACACATAGATTGTTTTCCATCATGTAGACTTGTTTTCCAAGAAGTAGTGTACATTTAGATATTAAAGATAACACTATTAATAACAGTGACAAACTCCTTTAGTGTTAAAGATTATTCTATATAATATTCATACTGCCATTTTGGTTGTTTGATTGGTTATCACTGCATTAAAAATGTGTTTTTGTTTTTGTTTTCACTTTAATCCTCATGTTTTAGTTATAGCTCTAGGAATATTCCAGGGGAATATGTTCAAGCAAAGTTTGATGGTACCAGGAACATTTGGTTTATTTATTTATTT